TACAGGTTTATATTCCATCCAACACATTAACATCACTATTAGTTCCCAAATACACAACACTTGTTTAATTTATTTTCTTCTTTTCAATTCTGGTTCCTAGTCGATCAAGATCCCCGGTTAGGACTGAAAAGGAACGGTCTCCTGAACCCGTCGCGAGGAGCAGAAGCCCTGAACCAACGGTCGATAACTCTCCTCCACTTAAGGACAGAAAGCATAGCCTAAGTCCCAATGGAGACAGTCCAATGCCTGAGTACAACGATCAAAGCCTGAAAGCTGAAGATAACGGCGATGCAGCCAATGGACAAGACCACAGTCCGAGAGACGAAGCCAATGGACAAGACCACAGTCCCAGAGACGATCCAAGTCCCTGAGACACTTCGCAAAAAGAGTGAAGAAACTCTTTAAACAATTTGATGAGCTTGCGTTTCTATAAGACTTGTAATGGATTTTTTTGTGTGTGTGTTTGATTTGAAGACCTCATCACTCTTATGACTTTCTCTGTTTTTCCCTTTTATTTTTATATAAAGCTAAAACAAATACACTCTATTACTTGCTCTGTTTCTGATTTTCTAAAGCTTCTCGTTTTATACATCATTTTCACAAATTGGGTTCTTATCTTGTCAAAAATGTTTCTTTCTCTAGCGTTATCGACGGCACCAATGAGCACGACGATTGTCTCTGCCACGAGACGTTCCGAAGTTCCACAATCTAAAACAAAGAAACCCAAGCCGGAGAATATGCGGCCAACGACGACGTCGACGAGCGGTTTCTCCAGCAGAACAGCGAAGGAATTGACGTGGAAGTGCGTCGAAGATTGTGGAGCTTGCTGTAAGCTTGCCAAGGACTTTGCTTTCGTCACCCCTGACGAAATCTTCGAAGACCCTGATGATGTTGAGGTCTGTTTGGTTACACCCACCACTTGTTCGACGAAATTCCTCTGTCGGTTTTTATATTCATTGCTTTTTTGTACGTTGATCTAGCTGTATCGAAGCATGATCGGAGATGATGGATGGTGCATAAACTACAACAAAGCTACACGCAAATGCTCGATTTATGCTGGTAAATTTGCTAATCAAATTGTTCTCTCTCTGTGATGATATTTGGTTAAGGACTTGAGCTTTTAAATGCTGAACATTTGTACCCATTAAGTTTATATTTTTTGAACGTCTTCTTCCTTTTCTAACTTCAGATCGTCCATACTTCTGCCGGGTTGAGCCAGAGGTTTTTCAGACTCTCTATGGGATCGAAGAAAAGAAATTCAACAAGGAAGCTTGCGGGTAACATAAATGTTTCTCTTTTGGTTGTATCGTTTTCCCCTGCAAGAGGCTATGATTCTCTTTCAAAAGTCCTTACACTCAAGAGTGTTGAAGCTTATGAATTGTGTATCCACAACTTTATAAGAGGAAATGATATCAACTTGCTAACATTACAGGATGATCTCACAACTCATTTTCTGGCAGTGAATAGAACAATGTGGAAATCATGGATGTGAGAAATCACCGTTTATCGTCTTTTTTACGTTTCAGTTGCTGCATTGATACCATTAAGACGATATATGGCCCCGATTCCAAAGAACTAGATAATTTCAACCGGGCTATCAGAAGTACTCCGAGCTCGACTTAACAGTCTGATGAACTCGAAGGCAGGTACCGATTCAGTTCTTTTCTTGGTAATACATACCTTAAAGTTCCTTCAATGCACTTGTGGGTTACAATGTGTACAATAGCCTTATAGTAGTGGAACATTTTAGGATTATTTTGACTGATTTTCTAAATTATGGGGAAGAGAAACAAATACCAAAAACCAGATGGCCAAAAACTGAGATTTCCTACTGCCAATCCTCTTTCCTAATATAAGCTTCAAAATTCATGAAACACCAAAAGTTTCTGTCAAAAAATCGGTGGACAAACAGTATCATATCACAGGTTCGAGTCCAAGTTCATCTTCAGGTTCATCACTTTCCTCAAACAGCTTCATAAACCGAGCTTGATCTCTTTGCAGCTTCATCCTCTTAGAGTGCTTGAACATAAAAACACCTCCAACCACAACAAGAGTTGCACACAAAACACCTGCCACGACCGCTATCGCAACTGTTGATCCGTTATCTCCTTCATCTTTCGAACTAGAACCCGTCGTTGCTTTAGCAGATACTACACACACAGTATTGCATTTCAATTCATATATGTTACTTCTGATCATCATATCCTTTTTGGTTTCTTTTGACAGGAAATACAAACGCAGAATTTAGTATTTACTCACCAGATTCGACCTTGGCACAACCGTGGCAGACAAACGTAGCGTTGATCTCGTTTTCTTTAAAGTGCATATAGATTTGGCTAGCAGAGAAATCAGTAGGACAAACCTCCCATTCATCAAACTCTTTGTCTGAAACAAGGCTGCCTTGCTCATAGATTCCGCATCGCTTACACTTTTCACCACCGATTTCAGTCATAGGCTGTAATAAGCAACATAGAGAGAAGAAGAAACATGTATGTTTTACAATCTTGATTCTTATTATATAAATGGTTGTAAGGAGAGATTTGGGATCAACCTGCCATGATTCTTGACCGCGAAAAGTGTACAAGATACCGGGTTTAACGACATCAGGAAGAACAGTTTTGTTCTCTCCTTTGCATTGAAAGTATACAGTATGTTTTAGCTTGAACCAGTCGTGCTTTGTGAATATCTCAATAGAGTTTAGTGTGATGAATTGTGCTCTAACAAATCCTGCAGTTTTGTAGATAAAAGCACATTTGTTTTGCCTTTTACTGCAGAATTTTCGATTGAATTGAAATCGAAAAGACAAGAAAAATAAAACATTCGCAGATTCTTTTGAGTTTTTTGAACGTTTTTTGTTTCTCATGGAAACTACACAGATCGATATATGGAGACATAAAATCATGGAGATCAATTCTTGAAAGGATAAGAATTTTGGTTAACGAAACAAACTGTTTTTTTTTTTCCCGGGAAAATGATTTGTTTATAGTACCTGAAATCCACATGTGTGTGATTGCCAAGAAGAGGAGATTTCTCCAGACCAACGGTTTCCAAATTTGCATTTTTATCTAATTTTCTCGTTTTATTTTCGTTTGATTCTCTCTGTTTTTCAAC